GGGAACTGAACCCAGATCCTCTACAAGAGGAGCCAGTGCTCTTAACTGCTGAGCCATCTCCCCAGCCCCAGTTGGTTATTTTTTAAAATTCTGTCCAATAGTCTATGTCTGTCTAGTGGTGAGCTGAGACCATTAAATTTAAGTTTATTATAGGACGAGGTTTGCTATTTCCTGTGAAGTTGTTTTCTGATGTTCCTTGTTGCTAAATTATTTCCATTTCTTTTCCTTCTCCTGGATTAGTCTGTGAAGTTTGTTCAGTTGCTGTGTTTGACATGGACATTTCTTCGCTGGGACAAGTTTATCTGTTCATTTCATGGAGTGTTCACTTTAATGTATTCCCATGAATACAGTACTCCCATGAAGGAGGTTATCTTTCTTCTTCTTCCCTGTAAGTTATCAATCAAGATGTTTTTGAAATGCTGGCTTGATTGTCATGAATTGCCTAATTAATGTTTGTCTTGAAATATCCGTATTTCTCCATCTATTTTAAAATACAAATTTTCAGGATATAACATTCTTGGCTCACGGTTATTTACTTTGGGAGTTTGATATACATCATCATGCTCTTCAGGCTGATGTGGCTACTGATGCAAAGTCTGGAGTAATTCTGATATTTCTGCCTTTGCGTGCAAGTTGACATTTTTCTAATGCTACTTTTATGACTGTCCCTTTACTTTTTAAAAAGTATTTTTATTGATTCTTTAGGAACTTCATACAGTGTATTTTGATCATATTTCCCACTCCCCTGACTCCTCCTGGTTTGGTCACCACCTCCATATTCACCCAAATTCATGTTTATTTTCCCCCATTTATTCCAATATGCTTTGCTCAAATATTCTTATGTATAGAACCAGCCCTGGATTGTCATCAGCCTACCAAGGGTGACACCCTTAAAGAAAACTGGTTCTTGGTGTCTCAGCAGTTGCTAAATGCCAGTAGCTCCTTCACTAAAGTTCCATGCCCATGCCACTATTTGGAAAGAAAAGCATTATCAGACAGCTTCTAGATCTCCTGTTAAATATCACCAAGAGATGGGTTGTCTTTTGTTTTTTGTTTTGTTTTGTTTTGTTTTTTTTTTGGTATTTTTGAGACAGGGTCTCCCTGTAGCCCCAGCTGTCCTGGAACTCACTATGTAGACCAGGCTGTCCTGGAACTCACAGAGATCCGCCAGTCTCTGCCTCCCAAGTGCTGGGACTAAAGGCGTGTGCCATCATGCCCAACAAGATGGGTTGGCTTTTGCCTGAAGTCTTTCTTCTAAAGTTGAAGTAATGCACTGCAAAAGATATTAAAAGGTGCTAGATGAAAACTCAGAGGGAAACAGGCTGCTGACTAGACAGCCAAGGCTCGTGCTATGAGCCCTCTCAGATCCCAAAGAGGCACTACTAATTTGGAAAGGCATTTAGAGAGACTACATCCCAAATATCCCCGAGAAGAAAAGCAATGAGCCCTGTCATAGGGGCCTGCCTTGTAACCCACGGGGTAGCTCCAGATAGAAAAAGGAAAGCTGATCTTACCTCAGGCTAATCAATGGAAAAATTCTTAAAACATTTCACTAACATTTCACCTAGGGAAAACACAGCTCATTAGATGAAACATGCTATTTATAGACAAAAAATATCTTAAAAATCATTAAAGAATCTATATCAGAATCTATGAAATAATCCAGAAAAGCAACCATTTAAATAAGACAGTAGTCCTTCTAGGCCTACAGCATGCTGGAAGGTACCCTAGGAGAAGACAAAGAGATTTCACCTCTATGCCACAGTCCTCTGGAAACATAAAAACAAACAAACGAACAAACACACAAATCACTAATGAGATACTTAAGAAACATCTGAGAAAAACTGTCTCAAGAAAACCATCTTCTGTGGATGACTTTGCTGCCGGGGATCAGAAATACCCCTCAGGCATTAGGCTTATGGCCACAGGAATTGGTGCATGGGCCACTGCTTCTCACTAATGTTTTTTTTTTCATAAATAGGAAACTACTGTTGTGATACAAGACTTCACAGCTAGTCTCAGCTCTAATACATACTCCAGAGCCTAAAAGAGACCTCCTACAGAGATTGGCTAACCATTGCTCCCCACCCAAATCAGGTGCTAGTCAAATCTCTCCCCTCTCTCCCTCTCTAGAACTGACCTGGGACGGACCTCACATTCTGATTCTAAGCAACTCAACAGCCATCAAAGTGCCTGGAACTGAATTCTCGCTTCGTCTTTCTCAAGTCAAACCCTGGAAGCAGAGGAAGAGAGACCTGAGGAGAGGCCAGATAAACCAGGCATGAACAGATAGATACCCCATGAGCCTAAAGAGGAATTAAAGTTCAGCTTCTGAAAGAAACACAAAGAAGTCTGTTTTCTTCTCTTTCGTAAGATATGCCCCTTATTGTGGGCTAGCTTTTTGTTTCTGCCTGCCTATGCTCAAGATGAAAATTCATTCCTTGTATGGGCCCAAGAATATGCATAAGATAATGAACAGCAATTTCTGGGTCTATGGACTCCTCCTGCTGCTAGAAATAAGTTTGGGGTTACAAAGAAAGAGATCACCACTCCAATTAAAGCGTCTCAACAAGGCGATAACTCACCACTTGTGAGGATTTATCGATAAACTGTGTTTTGAGTTTGTTTCTGTGACAAGGGACTTGATGATTCTGACCTTTCTTTACTTCCCATGAAAATATATTACAGTATTTTCTCATTTCCATTGTGTAAATAAGTATGTACACATCTCATATGTATATGTATATATGTACTATTTATATTTAGCTGTATTTGGAAATGGGTACTAGGACTGACTATATGGCTGCAATTCTATTTTTAAATCTACATGTCTGTGCATAAATATACTACATTTTAAAAATCATATTTAATCCTCAAAGTTATTTCTGAAATATGAGTCATTTCCTTCAATTAATTGCAAGACACACTGTTTCATAAACACTGTGTTCTTGACTATTTTTGTTCAATTATTCTTTGGAAATCTTTAATTTAAATACTAGGCTTAATAAACAAGGATTTTGTTCTTCAGAATAAATAGAGGTAGTTAGAATTTTGTGTACCAGAATAAAGGAGTTTTCATTAAACCTCATTAGCCAGTCAGCCAGAGTTTTTATTCTTTGGTACAAAAACATTTTGTGAAGTCCTTTTTAAGCATAATGCGTGTTGAAATTTGTGTGTTTTGACATTTCTAGTTCTAATTCCCTGGGACCAGTGATCATTTGTTAAGCACCGTGTAGACATTTTTGTTTATCTGTTTATCTATCAT